GAGTGCTCTAGTTCCCCGTTCCCGTTTCTCGTCCAAGGGCTTGGCAATAAGCCTTTCATCGAGAATAGCCTCATCTTCCTCCACGGTATCTTCACCAATTGGATTGTCGTCATCATCATCATCGATTGGGACAACTTCTTCAGCGGGCGCGGATGGAAGAGGAATCATGGGTACAATCCCCCCCGACCGACCAGCTGTTCCATAAGGTTGGCCGATGGCGGTCATCGCCATTCCCGTGGTGGATGGTAGATAAGGGACATAATCCTGCACCTCAAGCTTTACTTTGGTGCCATCAGGTTTCTTGAAGTATGGTCTACTGTACGCGGGCCAGTGAAAACTCCAGCCTGCGTCAATGCACCTTTGACCAACGGATACCACGGCAGGACTATCATCCAGAACGTATGGAGTGATCTGGGTTCCTAACACCGGGACATCCACTGTTGCTTGGTCAACGGCCTGAAACACACCATTTGCTGTGAGAAGGCTGACTGGTCTAGAGGATTGGGAAACCTCGCAATCATGTAGCATGTTTCTTGAAACAAGATCATGAGCACTACCAGTGTCTGCTATCCACGCGATCTCCGGCGTTGCCATGGATGGACTGTTGACAGGCTTAAAGCATTTCACGCAACCCATGACGGAATCGCACAGGTAACCACATGTTGCTGGCCTGTTGTGAAGCTCATTGTCAACAGCATTCTGAAGGTGTTGAGCTGCAATCGATGCGTCCTCCTGAGCAACTCGAAGTACGCTAGGGTCGCCACGGTAGTCGACTGGAAGGAGGCGCTTCTTCTTCTTGTGCCTGACTCCAACCGGCTTGAACCTCATATTTTGATCAACGGTATGCTCGAAAACAGTTGGGTTGTCATCAAAGTGAATTCTCGTCCTAATGACGTTTGCATTTTCATGTGTATTCAAATTATTGCTCAAAACAGGCATGGCAGGGTATGCTGGCATGACCACGCTTCCCAGCGGGCTATTAATAAATGCTGTTGATCCGTTCGAGATCGTTGCAGCAAAGACCAATGTCCGCAGGAGGCAAACGGCTGCCGGCGCATTGGAAGAAGAAGATTTTCCACCTTTCTTCCTCTGGCTTTCTGACCCAGTGGAACTGTCGGAGCCTGACCTTGAGCCACCTTTACTTCTTTTGCGTGGCTTCTCTTTCTTCTTCTTCTTCTTTCGTTTGTCTTCTTTTGCAGGCACTGTCTTCTCAGGATGCTGAAAGGCGCAATCCTTTCCACGATGACAATTGCCTGCCTTCCAGAATTTGCAAGTCTCTTTTCTGGAACCTGGAGTAAGGGATCTTGATTGTGATCTACTCCTTGACTTTCCTTTCCCCTTGCCTTTCGAATCTTCGCGGGGTTTTTCGTGCTTGAATGGGCATGAACTACCTCTCTTGCACTTTCCTGTCTTTTGAAATTCAAAGCATACACCTTTCTTGTCCAATTTGGCAGGTGCAACAGGATCTTTGCCACCAAGCGACCGCTTGGTAGCATCCCGCATCTTGTCGAGTCGCTTCCGTTCCAGGTAGGCACGGGAGGCAGCGATCAGGAAATCGTATGTCTTTTCCTTCGATCCCTCGGCGGCACGATCGTACAATGCCAGGTCATGAGTAAGAGGCCTGAAACTCTTGATAGCCATGTGGAAATATGCTTCCAACACGCTCTTTTCAGGTTCTCGTTTCATGCCGGCGAGGACCGAATCCCATTTGAGCTGTGTTGTAAACGTCTTATATCCCGGCACCAAACAAGGCAACGCTTACGCCGCGTCTTACGTTTTGCTTACGCGCGCACAGTTTTGCTTACGCGGAATAAACCGGCTTACGCAGACCTTACGCTGGACATTTTTAGTGCCCGGCCACAGCCTCAGCTTACGCGCAGCAACTTTTACCTGCAGGAACCGCAGCGTTTCTAGGCAGCATCGAGCAGTAGAAGATGATGACGTGGACGAAGAAGATGAAGCCGATGAAGACGCAGCAACAGAAGAAGCCCGCAGATGACGAAGTTGACGACGCTTCTTGGCAGCACCTCTGCTGAGCGCGTGGGCATGACAGACACTGGGCACCACTGATAGCGGACAGGCCAGGAAGGACAGATTGACATCTAGAGAAAGCCTTGTTCAGCAAGAGGTGTGCTTCATCCAGAGAAGGGCAATGTTGTTCCAAAATGTCCGAGACGGTCTTTGCGACAAGTCCCTGGCGCTCTGCACCAAGTTGCGAAAATGATTTGTGTTTGGGAGACATGGGCAACTACTGGCAAAAGCAGCTTTGGCTTACGCGCCGCTTACGCGGACCTTACGCGGACCTTACGCGGATTTTGGCTTCCAACCCGGAAACAAAGTTTGGAGGTGAAGGGCTTGAAAAAGGTATGACACTATCGGCACATACATTACAGTGTTGCTGTTTCCATCCGATAGTACAGTGCAGTTGTTGAAACTCCTTGTCTTGGTGGACAATCCTTTTCATTGCGGGCTTTATCATGATTTCGTTTTCCATGCAATTCAATCTTGCAGAATCATCAGAATCACATTCAACCTGCAGCATGGAGCTTGCCGCCACTTGAGGAAACAAATATCCAGCAACTTGACAGTGATCCCATGGATGTATGTTTAAGCTGTAAGCTTGGAATATAAAAGGTTCTTTGTCCAAAACTGCCATTTCACAAATCACGAAAAATCTCTTACGCCAACAACATTGGCTAAAATTGCTTACGCGGGCTTACGCCCACTAGTGTTTTGCTTACGCCACAGGTCCTTACAAGGATCTCCTTACTTGACATGACAACTGAGGTTTAAAACGTGGCTCATTTGCTAATGAATGACTTTAAATCGTCGTTCACTAGCTTCACTGACATAAGATCTTCCAAATCGTAAATAGCACCGTGCTTGATGCTCGTGGCAAAGTACTCATGAAATTTGAGCAACACCTGTCGACCCTTAACTGGTTTGTTCTCACGCGCTTGAAGCTCCTTAAAGGTAGCTATCTGCCGACCAAGGTCCCCCTCGGCGCAGTTTGTCAGACTTGACAAAAGCTTTGCATCGAGTGTCGGAAACCCTTCTGAATCGGCAAGTGCATCGATGTTCTGATCTTCTTGGAAGACTTTCCCGATCCACTTTCGCGCATCGTCAGGCTTTGCAGAGGCCGCGGAAACATTATCTCTGACTTTGATCTTCCAATCCCGGTACCTTTCGGGAGTCGGAAACTTCGGAATGAGCACTTTGTCCGCTTCCTTTGCACGTTGCTCTTTCTCAGGAGGACCATTCTTCTTAAGCATTTTCTTCAACTCGTTTTTGACAAGTTTGGAAATCTTGTCACGAACGGAACTCGACGATGTAGAGTCGGCGTCGCTGCTCGAGGAACCTGAAGGAGAAGGCGAAGGGGACTTCTTCTTTGTCCTCTTCTTCGTAGGAGAGCGACCTCGCTTTTGTGTTTCATCATTCTTGTGTCGATCACTCTTTTTCTTTTTCTTCTTCTTCTCTGATCTCTCGCTGTCAGCGTCGCTTTGATGAGCATTATCTGGAGGGGATGGCGGTTTCGGCATGCTCGACGTGGCTTTGCACGACCGTGCCTCCGGAGAACTGGATTTGTGCTTGGGTGCCATTTCTGACATCCGGTTCCCCGGTGCGGCGTTCATCCCTTCTCTTAGCTCTTTGATGATGCGAGCTTGTTCGGCCAGCTCAGCGCGCAAACTGTTCTCTCGCTCTTGAGCTACGGCCCTTTCCTTTAAGGCAAACTCATGTTTCTCAAGAGCCGTTTGTGTCAAGAACCTTTTACGCTCATCTTCTTGTTGCTGCTGTAGCTGTTGTTGTGCAATTCGAAGTTGTTCAAGTGTTTGTTGTTCATTTGCTCTGGATGACTCCGCGACGAAGTCTCTGGCTTGTCTCTCCACATCCTCTCTCATGCGTGTGGCTTCCTCGTTGAACCTATTCTGAGCTTCGGACATGATCGCCTGGTGCCTTAGCTCAGCGACCTGTGCCACTGCTGCCGATTGGTCCTGATTTACAATGACAGCTTGCTGGAGAGTCCTTGCATCTATCCGGTTAACCACTGATGTTGTTGGTGCGAACGGAGAAGGAGCTTCCATGGGCCCCAGGTCCCCCTGGACAGGACTAAGTAGAGGAACACTCAACAAGTCAGGAGGTAAAGGCACTAGGATATCATGACCCTCATGCTCGGACATCAACGGGGTGGTAGGAGCATAGCCCGAACGAGATCGTTCGTCCTCCAAAGCATCCATGGCAGCTAGCCTACCGAGTGTGCGCACTACTCGTGGTGGAACCGGCTAGCTACGTCCCAAAGCACGTACCGCACTTATGGCGATACGGCTGATAACCTGTGTTAACAGGCGATTAGCCTACTTAGACCGCAATACGCGCCTATTTTGCTTGAGCCAAAGTCAAGTGTATGTGAGACATGAATACGATGTACAACTGTGAAACCACATATACATTTATAATCGTTGTGTTGTTCACGATTTATGTCGAAGTTTGCAGCGTTTGGGGGACCAAAACCCAATCAGAACGCAAGGGTAGGACTATCATGAAGACTAGCCTAGATGCAAACGACTTAACCCAAGTACCCAGTATTTGTGGACCACCAATTACCAAAATCCAGCAGTCACACCGGCTTGCTTAATGGAGGTTACGGCGCCCATTATCCACTCACTTAGGGACTAAATATCACCCGTTTGTGACCCCTGGATATGGTCTTTTCCCATCAAAACAATGCTCATGTTCTGGGCTCCCAGGTGTACGATGCAACAACACCTACAACAAAAAAGAACCTGCACGTGCTCCGGCCCACCTACTCATCAAAAGGGGAGATGTTCGAAACTGAGAGGAAAAGCCAACTCCCTTGACATTCCAAACGCAAAGAAACCAACTTGATTGGTACAATAACAGGTCCAGTGTTTCAATCACTCGCCTCCCCGAAGGAATTACAAGAAAAGCAAAAACCCACTAAGGGAAGATCAGCTTGCGGAGCTGCGCTGCGGCCAGAAGACCCGGTAACAGAGCGTGGGCATGGTCGGGGCGAGGATCCCTTTAAAGATGATCTCCAGCGCTGTAGTCACCAGCAAGATCACCACCCACGCCTTTCAGCGCCCGGGGTTCACCAAACGGAGATCGATGGAGATCGGTGAAGCAAGCTGATCCACCTGTTGGGTGTTCAGTGGGGAAAACCCGACTCCAAAAGAGCCTTTTCAGAACCAGTGAATCCTGTTTTCAGCAGACCCAAGTGAAAAGCCATCGCTTTGAGCATACGAAATGCCTCAAGGATCTGCGGAAGACCAAAGGGAAGGGCGCCAAGACCAACTCCTTGGGTCGAGTCTTACAACTATGTTCGCTGCCGCTGCCGCTGTGACACCTCCAGCTTTTTCGCGGTCCAATCAATGATCCAATCAATGATGCCGGTCGATTTGGTACCTATCTATATTGATTGCAGTAGTTCACTGGGGGGAATCCCCTCCATGCATCAACTAACCAATATACTAAAAGACACACGAGTTTTTTTTGTGGCCGCTGTTCAGGCTCATCCAAAACGGCTCGGGGTACCGTGATGACGTCCCACGTCCAACGTCCGTCCAATTCGTCGCCGTCGCCGTCGTTCCGGCGCCCATCGGTGCGGCCTGAACTCCTGAAAGGCTCAAGCGCTTGAAGGCGTTCACGACCTCACGATGAGGCACGACGAGGCACGACGACGGTCCGGGCCCGGTAGACGTTGGTAGTAGAAAAGGGACGCGCGCAACCGAGGCCAGGAGGCCAGGAGCAAGTAGATTGGAGGCCATTGCAACTACGAGCAAGATATTATATAGTAACAATTAAAACCGGCTCCATGTATCATGGCCGAAAAAAGGCCAGTGGCAGCCAGTGGTGGTGCCAGGGGGGTTACATCTTGGGGTTCTGAAATTGCGTCACACCGAACATGTCCATCTGTGAAGTTGAACCTGCAAAGACTCATGGATCCCTGAGAAATGAGACATGAATCCCTTATATAGAGGGTCCACATAGCATGTGCAACCTGCCCCCCAAAAGCCACACATACAGGACATGGTGTTCTTTCGGGGAAGACACCAGGGAACACACCTGGGAAGTCCATTCCAGTGAAACTCTTTGGGATCATCCATTGAAATGCAACTAGTGACACAGAGCAAATTCCAACACCGTCAAAACTGTAAGGTGCTACTTGAGGCCAGGGGGAGGAGGTCGAAAGCTAGCCGAATCGCACCGGATGTACTACAGTAGTTACATAGTCGGCAAAGCATGTAGTGATTACATGTTTTGGGAGAAAGGTTGCTACGTACATACTTTGCGCTAAAGAATGTACATGTGACATCGCCGACTGGGAAGGGTACATTGGAACTCGTTGGCAGGCACGAAGATGCGTGATCGGCAAGTCTGGGGGTTAAATTTACCCCCCGCTTTTGTATGCCTTGAGTCGGAAAGAGGGGTAAGCATTTCTGACATCACACGGACTGTCCATACACTAGGGCGTCCGTAGTGTAGGAGAAGCACGGGTAAAAGGTATATGGAAAAGAGTGTCTTGAGGAAATAGCCGGCTTATGGTTATTGCAAATCTGGGGGTTATATTTATCCCCCGCTTATGTATGCCTTGTGCCGGAAAGAGGGGTAAGCATTTCTGGCATCACAAGGACTGTGCATACACTAGGGCGTCCGTAGTGTAGGATAATCATTGGTACAAGGTATAAGGAGTAGAGTGTCTTGAGGAAATAGCCGGTTTATGGTTATGGCAAATCTGGTGGGTAAATTTACCCCCCGCTTATGTATGCCTTGAGCCGGAACGAGGGGTAAGCATCACAAGGACTGTGCATACGCTAGGGCGTCCGTAGTGTAGGATAAGCACTGGTAAAAGGTATCAGGAATAGAGTGTCTTGAGGAAATAGCCGGTGTATGGTTATAGTTATAGCAAACCTGGGTGGTAAATATACCACCCGCTTATGCATGCATTAGGTTAGAAATAGGGGTAAAGAACTTGTAACAGTGAAGTACAAGTCCTATGCAGCAAGCAGCAGCCAGCAGCAGCCGCCAGCAGCCAGCAGCCAGCAGCAACCACCAACCAGCAGCCAGCCAGCAGCACCACGCAGCAGCAGCGCAGCACCAAGCCGCAGCAGCAGCAGCAAGCAGCAAGCAGCAGCAGCAGCAGCCGCAAGCAGCAAGCAGCAAGAAGCAGCAGCAGCAGCAGCGGCGTCGTCAGCAACAGCAGCGGCAGCACCAAGCCGCAACAAGTAGCAAAGCAGCAGCTACAAAAGCGGCAACCTCAGGCAGCAGCAAACAGCAGCAGAGCGGCAGCAGCAGCACCGTTTACACTAAGCCACCGTTTACACTCAACCAACCACGTTCACACGTTCAACCAACCCCAGCTACACGGCGCAACTGGGAGTCGAACCGTGGGGGGGGAGGGGGGGAGGGTTAGCGTGATATATCAAGCTTTAAGGCACACAGTTCATCCCACTACCAATTGCTAAAGCAAAGAAGAACTCAGCTAGCATGCTAGCTTTCGTGATTTTGCCAAACCACACATGTCCAAGACAGTAAAATCAAACACTTTGCTCTCAGGTAATGAAGATTCATCAACTGACGAGGCGCAGCCGAACTGTTATGTGATGCATCCACAAGAAAAAACGAGCAAATGATCATGCTTCCGACGAAGCTGACCATGCTTCCGACAAAGCTCGTCAACGAATCCTAAATACAAAAACCTAAATCAGTGGATGTTTTGCAAAAACGCATGCAAAATCCCATGAGTGTCATCTTGATTCTCCACTAATTACATGTGTTTCCGCTATCCAGGATCATCATCCAAAATTCAAGTGCATGATGTCTTTGACATCCTGGTTTTGAACGCACACCCCAAAATCCAAAATACCAAACAAAACACCAACAATTTCCAACATGTAACAACACCTCCACTAATGCCAAAACGCCTGCAGCTGGGAGTTGAACCGCGGGGGGGGGGGGG